TTACAGAGTACGAGCACCACTAATACTTCCTTTGAAAATGAAACTCGTCGTACATCGGAAGAGTTTGGTAAGATAAAATTGAAATTTGTAGGAGACATGCATGTTTGAAAAATTCGACAATTAACGTAGCAACGAACTTTCTATGCCTTCTCTTTGAGCTCTTAATGGAATTTCTACTTCTCTTTCAATCACATAATTCATGAATTGTTTTTTTAAACACGAGTATGCTTATTAGATACGAGAATTACGGAAACAATGTTTGATAGATGATTTCTTACTTTTATTCACGCTTATTTTTAATAATTGTTATTCGACATGAAATAAGTAATGACAGTTTTTTTGTTTAAAATTATATGTAAAGTGTCCCAGTTAAGGTATCCCCAAATATCTTCGTTACTTTAAACGATACGAACAAATTGTTCGAATAAAAACTTTTCAGTTCCGAAGGGGTAATATTACCATCTGCGCGAAAAGTATCTCAAGCTCACATTTTTCGAAATTTCAAGGGCATCAATGTTTTTTTTAAACGTGAAGGGGTATTTTCATTATTACAGTATTGTAGCGGATAAAGAGAACGTTGGAGTATGATTGTATAATAACTCTTCACAAGGTCATCCGAAGGTCGATATATTATATATGTTTGAATTTGTCTTTTTATCAATTGCAATATTACAATAATGAAAATACACAATCTCTATTAAAACAAAACTATCGATGACTTTGAATTTTCGACCTTGAAATAATCTTTTTTGAATATTTATCGAAGAGATCATCATTTGGAAGAAGATAAAGAAAATAGCATATCGCACGCCCATAAGGTGTTACGTTGGCAATTAACGTATACTAGTCTCGTTTATGCCTTTTCCGTCGCCAATGTGGCCGTAATAAAGCCAATGTAGTCTAAATATTTATCTAGTATTGAACTGCGTTTACGACAAGCGTAAATATACAAAAATATACAAGGATATACATATATAAATGCATCAATAATATAATTAATAATATAAATAACTATAACATAATAAAATAATATAATGTATAATATAAATATACATATATAAATAAATAAAATACACGTTACATGTAGAAAAGAAAACATACTTTAATTTATGTTTCTCTTTTGTATTTGTATATATAAAAATATAAATTTACATAAACACCCACAGTCCGATTAATGTCAGTTAGCAATTATGGATAGCGATACGGAAGTAAAACGAAGATCTCTGCCACCGATCCGACCACGTTTAATGTATCATCGTAGATGATCCTACGATACTAGCAACTTACATTATGCGAGCGGCACGTTTATCAGTCGACATGAGTTCAACTTGGCAGTGACGCATCGAATGTGAAACCATTTTCATCTAACCGCCACTTTACTGCAAAAAGTTGAGGTCTGCTAAAACGCTACCGCGGTTCCGCTATTCCTCAAAGTGCTAAAGATCAAGAAGCTGTCAGCGAATCCAGGACAGTTAATGATTACCATATTCGTTGCGAACACATTTTTCAAGATCGACAGAATTGCAATCCACACTAATGGATTTCGTTGTTCCTAAAGGGGTCGATTAATTATCTACAACTTCCTAAATTGAAATACTATAACTTTCGGTGTTTACTGTGGCGACGCTAATTGTGTCAACATAACATGCAGAATAACACTACCTCACAACACAATACTTAATACATATTTAACATAATATTATATTAATGCTAGAATCCTAGCTTGCAACTTATTTAGGAAAAATAACGTTGTGTTTGAAACAGAATTTTTGAAAATTATTTTTCGCCGCAAAAATTGTATCCTCGAGTACGCGAGGATATTACCTTTTCAATCTTTTGTATCTCTTATTTCAGAGAATATCATAGTAAATATGACATATGCAAAACATAAAATCGTCAAATTTCAGGGACCAAAAGAATAGCCAGTGATAAGCCTCGGAAAGAAAGAACATCATTTACAAAGCAACAAATTCGACATCTTGAGCATGAATTCGCTCATAGCAATTACCTCACACGGCTCCGACGTTATGAAATAGCCGTTGCATTAGATTTAACAGAACGCCAGGTGAATTGATATCATTTATTAAAAAATGTTTGAAAAAATATTCCTTGCTTCAAATATTGTGACAAAATATACGTAAATAAGAACAGAGCCACGAACTTAAGAACTTACTATATAGAAAAAACCATTATCTCTTAGTAAAGCATTGAATTTATGTTTTAGGTGAAAGTTTGGTTTCAAAATAGACGAATGAAATGGAAACGAACAAAATGTGGATTAGAAAATGGACAGGGAAAGCTCAATGTCTTGTGACAAATTATTTTACTAATATAAAATATTTTTACAGGATTCTGTAATTGTAAATAGTGTTTCATATGGAGAAAAAATTTCTGTAATACTAAAATCAATATATTTTACATCTTCTTTTTTTGCTGAATCAATATTAATGAAATTCTTATAGTTGTTAAACCTTAACATCATCTGTTGGAATAAATTTTATGTCATAACCTTTCTCTTTTAATACCTTTTCTAGAGCAGCCAATCTGTTTTTAGTTTTTTCTTTGAAACTTTTATGTTCCTGTCCCTGAATGCTTCTATTTCTCCTTTTATTTATATTACTTCTATTTATTAACTTAGGATAAGCTTTCTTTGTCCAAGGTGTGCCAGCAAAAAATCCTGGGTGTTGTTTCTCAGGTGGGATGTAAGTAGCTAAATGAAATTATTGTATTAAGAATATAAAATAATTGAAACAATTGTTTGTTACTATATTGTATAAAGTTCCATGTATCACCTTTTAATAATCTACCACACATGAGATAATTGTTCATTGATTCAGCAGCTACTTTTGCAACTTCAGAATGTAAGAATTCAACATATCCATAACCACGACTCCTACCAGTCTGAAAGAGTATATATATGTTTATATACCAACTATGTACTTCATATACTCAATTATTCAATATTTGAAAAATGAACTCACATTCCTCGATCGAACGACTCGTACCCTTGTTACTCTTCCAAACTGTTTGAAATAATCTGCCATTTGTTCTTCATAAAAACCATGAGGAATATGACCCAAGTACACTACGCCTTTTGTATTTTGTCTTCGCGGTTTCGGTTTCGATACATTCGTCTTACTTTTATTAACTTTCTTTGATTTAATTGTTTTCGATTTTGAAACTGGTTTTGTTTTATCTGAAATCTTCTTCTGTAAAAACAAACATACATTTCACTTCTATCAAATTTAATAAAATGTCAAATTATAGGTTATATTCACATGTGATATCTAACCTCCAAAACCTTTTTAATGTTTTCTAATGCTTTGGTCACGGTTGATTCCTCTTCTACGTCTGACGATTTACGTTTGACTTTTATAATTTTTTTAAGTGGTGGAACTCTCACGGCATTAGATTTCTTTTTTATTTTCATGTTGAAGAAATTTATCAATTTCCTACGACTCAATTATGATAAATTACGAAACGTAAAAGAAAACAAATACATTAACCTAACCTAACCAAACCTAACTAAAGGAGTACAAATAATTTGGCGATAGATGGCAATAAACGCAGAATTTTCTACCAATGTCACTATAGACAGGCAGTGGGGGTGATGGAGCTATTTTCACTACAAATTTACAAGCATAAAAATAAACAATTTCATTTTTTGAGGCAATTTGACGTCTGTCAGCTTTTACACAGCCTTTTTTACGCGCGATATCGTTTTATAAAGAAGGGGTAACATACTTTTTAAACAACTATTTTACGTGACATCGAGCACGTCATCGAGCATCATCGAAAATCTTAGGGCTTGTAACATTCTAAATATCACAAAAAAAAAAAAGAAGACGTGACTTTTCTCATGTTATTAGAAATCGCGATTTTTAGCACGCCTTAAAAACTGTGATTGCATATCACGTAAGAGCGAACCTTTAGACGGCAAGAATTAACAAACTCAAAGACGAAAATTATATATGCCAAACATGAGAGCGTTTGTTGCATGATTTTTGCGAGAAACGTGTTGGGAGCAGCACCGTATCGTTCTGCTTGATCAAGAGAAAATTTAGTGGCAGGAAAGAACCATGCGTGGATTGATATGCTAGTTACTGGCAGTCACCTCATGACAGTCGTAAAAGAAGGATTGGTATAGTAGATAGTCTTCTTCGATCAGTATTAGTCAAACGGTAGTGAATTTCGCATGTTGTTTAAAAAACAAAGGTAATCATCAGTATCCACTTGCAAAGATGTTGAGAAATTAAATAATATTTAAATATTACGAATTTATTCAACTGAACGAATTATTAACAGAAAATACTTCACATTTTGATAAAAGAAGTTTGAAACTTATTTTAAACGTACGATTCAACACTGATATGAACATAACACAATGTGAAACATTATTATAATTTACAGTTTTAATTATTTTACAATGTCGTGTAACTATTGTACAGTGCGTCATTCAATGATAATATTTCGTCGCAAGTGATTTTATCGACCGAAACTGTTAAAGTGTATAATCTCGAAAATTTACACAAAAGTGTCCCACGTGTGATAAAATATGAATTTTTTTGGTGTTTGAACAATTACATTTGATTAATATGAAGTATCAATATCGATTTCATAATGTGAAGTAACTTTAAAAATAAAGGACTTAAATAGTTTTCAATGTCATTATCATAACATTGAACATGCGCGTGCTATGTTGAAAATCAATAGAAATACGAGATATTAGAATTATGAGATAAAAAAGTATTTGATTTGAGCTCATTGTATTTGAACATATTTATAGTTTACAAAGATTATCATGTCAATGTGAAAAACCTTTGAGTTATATTTCATTAGAAAGGACTAATAAATGAACATGATGACATACTTATGATGTAATAAACACGTGCAAGGTTAATCATGGATATATATATATACAGGTATAATTATTTATATATATATATAAATAATTATACCTGTATATTAATAATATACTTTCTTTTCGTGCTGTATAAAACAAAATATTAAATGCTTAACTTTATAACTGCACAAGGAATACATTGAATACATGTAGATAACAATGAGTGTCGACTATATAGAAATTTGAAATAATGTAATATAAAAAAATCGTAAATAAAAGTTGTAATGTTTTCAATAAATTGTAACTTATGATGATACAAATTTTGAAAATCTTGTTGAAAAGGTACTATTATTATTATTATTATTGTTATTGTTATGTATAAATTACTGGTAATTTTAATTAAAATTTTAATGAGAATTCTGTAAAGTATCCTTGAATGTGTAATTGCTATATTATATGATGTAATAGGTCATTCTAGCATATAAATTTAATGTGTTAATGGATAAAGTACAAACACAATATAAGATTTTTATGTGTATATACAGATAGGCAATTGCCAACTGATAATTTTTTTTATCTATTGATTAAAGGGAGAAAAGTCGCAGTCTGAGTAGTTAAGATATTAACAGTACATTAATTTCAAAATGTTAAGTAAAACACATGTAAATAAAATGAATTGTCTAAATAAAAGTACTTATTTTTGCAAGATAAACAATGGATGATTCATGGCAAAGTGCTAAAGAAATAGAAATCCCAGACGAGGCTCTAAGATTAGCATTAGAGAATAATGAGTCAATGAAAGACAAGCTGTATGTAGCAGCAAAAAGATCACCCTTTCTTGTAGCAGGTATGTGTTTGTTAGATCTAAATAATGAAAAGTGATTTTTACTTTTCTTAGATCTTCCTATATATATAAATATTTAAGATATTTATGAATAATATTTCTCTTATAGGTATGTTAGGTTTTACTATCATAGCTGGAGTAGGTGTCTACAAATGGAGAACAAAAACAATCAGACCTTCAATATTCCTTATACAACTCAGAGTTGCAGCTCAGGGTACAGCAATAGGATGTTTAACCATGGGAATGCTATATCAAATGTACACAGACTTAACAAAACCAAAAAAAAATAAATGATGATATTCGTCACTATTTTAGTGTTTAATTATATAGCAATGGTATAAAGAAAATGAGAAGTAGGAAATTTCAATTTTTAAAATACAAATTCAAAAATATTAACTTAAACATGTAATTATGGATTTATGGTACAAACCATTTCTGGCATTATACTTCTAAAAAATTGTGAACTTATCTAATCTCAAATTCTATGATAGAGGAGCACAATAAATATTTAATTTTATGTATTATTCTTTAAAATATATATTTTACTAAAAACTCTTTGTTCTTTTATGATATAATTTATTTTCCCTTATGTTATAGATACATTATCAATTGTATGTTTTAATGAATAAATGTTAATAATATATTTCTATTCTTTCTAGTTAATTTTATATGCTACATGTACATGATATGAAACATATTTATGTACTCAACATGTGTAAGTATTAAAAAATATGAATTTAAGTAAGTTTCAGAAACAAATAAGATATTTATGTATATAATAAAATTTAATATAACAAATAAAGTATCACACAACACTCATTAACTTGATTTGTCAATATATTTTGAAATATACTTTGCTCACCAATATGAGGCGTAAATCTTTGTATTAGTGATCGATATTAAAATATAAACAAAGTTTTCACGCACTATAAATAATAGTTTGTATTGCGGGACATTCGACGCTTAATTATGTAATGAACGAAACAATTTATCACTAGAGTAGGTGATTTCGTGTAATAAATAACGTCTTGTAATTAGATAGTATCGTGATCAGTAAATACATAGCATTAACTCTAGGAAGAGCCGGAAGGGCTTTCTCTGAGTTAACAAAATACGTAAAGATGGCTGAAGAAAGTGACAGGAGTCAATTGCCACCCGGTTGGGAATGCAGATACGATTGTCGTAGTGGACGTCCGTATGTAAATTTTTGCAAAAACATCTCCTATTACACTACCTAAAATAACGATAAATTAATATCAATGATCAGGAAATTTTATTACTGCAAACGGCTTACATTATGCAATGACGATATCACATCGACATATAGCTCTGTCGTTGCATAAATATTAATGAAACGTAATACAAATAATTAAAATTGTTCATTGTTAAATTTCTTCGTGTTTCTACGAACGTGGAACATATAATAACCATAGTGAAAACTTTTTTATTTGAATTTTATATGACATAGCAAGTGGAAATATTCTTGCATGTCAGTTAGTTTGTAAATCAATTAGATCAAACGTTTTTCAGATATTTCATAAATCATTTTAATCGATCGACAACATGGGAAGACCCGAGAGTAAGGTATTGGCAGTATGCTCAGTATGTACAATCACAAAATTCAATGGCACTGAGTTCTGCTACAACTTCTCAAGATATACCCATGCAGGTCAGTAGATTATTCCTGATAATCTATTAAATGTGTTAAATTATCATCTAACAGACACATCCATTTTCACTTAAAAATAATATTTGGATATATATATTTAAATTGCACATATGCACGTATTTAAAGTGTTTGTAAATGCACTCGCAATATATGTATTTTTATCATACGCACATGCTGCATTTGGATAAAAAATATAAAATATACCGCAAAATAATAGTCCGGAGGAAATGGAGGTGGTGGACATTTAGGTTATGCAGGGGCTCACAGAGCACCGCAAATCTATCCAACACCGTCTCCCTATCTTAATCCACAATTTGCGTTTTTACCTCCTAGTTTACAGGTAGGTAAACTTTAATTGTAAACGCATTGTACATTGTATGATTTTACATATGAGTTTCTGATACAATGAAATTTTGATCAGATTGTAACTGATCTGTCAAATGTCAAACTCTATGAAAAGTGAGAATTCACTAACATTGAATACATTAATGTATCACAAGATTTTACATACCGTAGTATTAAATGATCGATCAAACATTTCTGTATCAAAGGTTTCTGATATATAAATTTATTTTTTAACATTAGATATGTTATTGATAACAAAATCCATAGTAACTAGAACACATAATTTATGTAGGAGCTGAAAACTCCATTATCACTGAAATCAGTTAGCGCAATGACAAACAGATTTGGAGATATGACAATAGGATCACCAACACCAATAAGGAACATGGAGACAAGTTTAACACAAAATTCAGATTCTGAGCTACAAGTTGCTACAATCAATGCCATGTTTCCAACAGTCTCTGACATCCACATTCGATTTCTTTTAAGAAAGTAAGTTTCAAGATTTAAAAACCTTAAATATTTAGGAGTCCATTTGTGTTATATATTACTATTAACACTGAGTTCTGTATCTCGTACAGATACTGGTTTTTCATATATTACCTGTATCAGTATCAGATACAGACCTATGCAACTAATTACTTACACTGTCCCTATGTCCTTGCAAACACCAGTACAATAACATAGATTATAGACTTCCTTAATTTGAGGATATCATTTTTATAAATATTTGTATACAAAAAGGTACTATTTACATCATTTAAATTAACTCAATGTTCGTCGTGTGAGATATGGGTTTATGTCCTTTGGGTGGTTTATTAGGTCCATATAGGATGCAGAATAGTATGTTAAGGAATTAAACAAACTTTGATCGATAATTTCTTTGTCAGTTTGGTTTCTTGTACTTTTATATCCAGACCATATTAAGTACTACATAAAACTCTACTTTCTTGTGTATTCTGTTATCTTTATGCTGGCTATATATTGTTTTCTTCGATAAGTTTTAATAGCACAGTGTCAGGTATAGTGCTAAGGTAGTAGCTGATGTCTTTCAGATACCATAACAGACCAGCTTTGGTTGTCAGCGCTCTTCAAGTGGAAAAGAATCCCCTGTGTGCTCCAGGACCATGCACACCTATTGGAGTGCACTCAAACTATGCAATACCAAGATGGCGATTACCGGCTCATGCTATACATGCAGCTCTAACATTGAGTCCACCTCGGGGGTTCCGGCCAGCCCCCAACTCCCCAAAAATGAAACTTAGGTTTTTCCCATACTTACAATTTCAGTTTCACCGAATATGGATGCTAGATGTTGATATTGTATTTTGTTATAGTCACATAAAAATGTATCAGATAGAAAATGAAGCACTATATTCACTTGTTCATTTTGAATATCTGATATATTTCATATACGTATATGACCATTCAGTACTGTGTAGTAATAGCATGTATTAGTACTCATTGCAGATTATATAATGAAATTTTTTTAATCAATTTACATACTAATTTTTGTATTTCACATTGTATGATTCACTCGTAATAATTACAATTTTTTTTTACTGTTATCTGCAATGTGTTAAAATTCTTCAATTAAAATTTGTACAAACTTTAATATTTCAAATGTCAGTGTAATAAGGGAATGCAAAATTTTTTAGTGTGATTGATCTAGTAAAATTTTGCGAAGATATATATGATGCATAGTAGAAAAAATTGTATGAAGTAGTCTTAAACAAAACGATATTATCAAAATGGCCAGTAAAATATTTTTTTCAGTTTTTATTTATTGTTTTGATTGATATTTTGTTTCTTATGTTCACAATTTTCATTTCATGTTTCTTTTTTTATACACGGTATATATCATTTAGGACTCATTTTTTCATTTCAGTTTCTTCCTGGTTTACAGTACAACACATGTTGGATAGTGTAAGATTTACACAGATCATAGATAGGTTGGTTTCAGTTTTATATCATCAATGTATTTTCTGTTCAGTTTTTAGTGGCAAAATTGAAGCTTATGTTTTTTGTTAATATGTTGTATGTGTGCTATTATAAGAACCTTCACAATAATAAATGAGTTACTTGGATATTTATGTATACATACTTACATATACACATGCAATAATAAATAGAATAATATATGTGCATCAGATTCAAAGTTTCAAATCAGATATCTTGATAAATAAAGACATGTTATGCATGCATTAGAAAACTCATTTATTTAAAAGAAATGTGGCCTACGCATGATAATATGTGCATGTGTATTATGACTTAAAATGTCCATGTACTTTGTGTGCAGTCAAACAAAATTATTATCTCTGAAAATGTTTAAGTTATTTGCAATACATGTACAATTATCTTGTCTATTTTGTATTGCAAGACTTTACATCACATGTGCATATCATACAAATTATTATAATTAGTATTTTCGAAATATGTACTTCAATTATTAATCATCAAAGCTAGTGTATTAATATTTAGTTTATTTCAATGACTGTTCGTATATCTGTTCTGATTTACGGATAAATTCTCAGTTGCATAATGTTCAATTTTATATTGTAGACTGTGTCCATATATGTACTTGGCAACAAATTAACCAATTCTAGAAATTGTTAATATGTTAAAAATGTATGTACAGGTACCTGAAAAATATATTTCCAAAGGTGGAAGAGACTATGTTGCTTGACATTTTGGAACAAAGCGATAATAATGTTCAAAAAGCTTCTGAAAAACTGATTGATCTAGGCTATGAGAAGCGAAACCCTACAGCCCCTAAATCATTGACAAAAAGAAGGGAAGAAGAACAGGTAATGTATCACATTTTCTTACATTATTGATTGATTTCTTTGATATTTGTAATTAATTTTAGACAATATTTTTTTAGGCAAAGAATGAACAAACTGCACCTACTCCACCACCACGTATGAAGAGTTTAGAAGAGAAAAATAAAAGTAAGTATATTTTTCAATGTTTTATAAGATATTAATATTAACATTCACGTTTTATTATATATGAAATCATAATCCTTTAGTGAAAGCACGATTAATGGAAAAATATAAGTCAGTACCAGAAAGAGTAATAGTTCTTGCTATGGATAGTGTTGATTATGATGAGGAAAGAGCAATACATATATTGAGCATTATGGTTACAGAAGAAGCTACGAAACCACTCTGTACATCCAGTAGCCAGAGGTAACTTTATGTCATAAAAATGTAACTTTTTATTGTATATTAAATATATGTAAACAATTTGTAGCAGTAGAAGTGATGAAAGGAAAGACAGTCCACCAATAACTGAAGCTGTAAAATTAACTGCATCACCAATTAAGAAAGTAGTGAAGGACGTAGAGTCGGAAAAATCTAAACGATCTAAAAATAAGATAGAAATACCAAAGTAAGACATATTATACATATTATAATAACATAATGGTTTTAATTCTCATAAAATAATCAATGACACAATTTGCAATAACATTTCTAGAGTTTCTCGAGGAACCAGTACCACAGAAGATAATGAATATAAGTCTCCATATTTGACAAAACCTGTAGGACCAAACCCTGATTTACCGAAAGGAGCTAATAACGACTTACTTTTGTAAGTTTTAGATCTCCCACTTTAAACTTAATAAAAATATTGAAATCATTATTATTATTGCAAACTTTTTAGACCTGACTATGCACCATGGTCAGGACCAGATCCAAATTTATTGACAAACGAAACATTCAGCAAAACAGTAGCAAATGGACATGATACAAATTTGGTTTCTGGAAGTCGTTATGTTGCCAAAGGTCCTAATCCAGAATTGAGGAAAGGTCCACTACGAGGATTAACTCAAGGTTCCATTTATTCTCAAAGAAATGTGGCTAATACAGAAAGTCGTGGTAAATGAAACATATGTAATTGCTTTTTTCTTAATTTTTACATTTGTTAAAAAAAAAATATTGTTATGTTTTAATTTCATATAAATCGTATTTTTTCGTTTAACATGTTCATATAAATTATATAATTTTTTAAGTATAAATAAGTAACTGATGATCGTTAATCAATTTAAGTATCAGTTTTGCAATGTTTTATTTGTTTAGTAAGAAGTTTCTTTTAAAAATAATATCACTTTAGGTATGTAATTATTGGTAGGTTCTATATTTGACTCATTGCTTATATTGACGTTATGTCAATAAATAAGTACTTACTTGTTATGTTCAATTTGTTGTTAGCAAATATTTATCTTTGATTAGATTTTTGTTTGTTTTAAGATGATCTTTTTAATATATTAAGTACACAAAAGTATTTGGCAAAATAATGTTTACAAAGTAGTAAATAAGTTATTATTACAAAATGTGCAAAGAAGTGTTCAAATTTACTTACATATACTCTTTATATTGTTTAAAAAATATATCACATTATCATACTCTTTTATTAGTTATCAATTTGAGAGTATTCTAATGCTTCCATTTGTGACATATCTTGTCGATTGTAATATGTACATAAATGTGTCCAAATTTTTACATATTGACAAAATAATTTGAAAGAATTTCTGTTTTGCCTGTAAAAATATCCAAATTCATTGTATTTGAAGATGAAATTATTGACGAACTTCTTTGCAAATATGAACGAAGTTTCTAATCGTTTTAATTCGATTACGATATGATGGTAGCTATAATAGTTATAGAAATTAATCTTATGATTGAACATTCCATAGTAGGGCTTTCCATCCTGCAACACTTTGCACACTAGTTAGTCATGTAATAAGGTTATGTACTATTAATAACTAAAGGCAAACAATGGATTATAAAGTAAAGTATATGAATCAATATACATATATTGTATTACTTTATAACATTTTTATTGGTTTTTCTTATTGCGTTTTGAAAAAACGTACATAGTAGTGGTTGGAAAGCCCTGTTCTACAGTATTAATACCAATTTTAGTATTTGTTGTATAATGTATTTGTATAATTTATTTCTTAAATTTAAACTTAAATAATTACCTTATCTTAAGGAAACAAGCGTTGAAATATATTGAAGTCAATTACAAAATTAAAGCATTAAGTATAATAGAAATTCATTGATTGTATTATGTATCTATACTGAAAGTACGAAAGAACGAAAGTACTTCATACCTCATACGTTTACACGAGGTATTCATATAATGATTGAGTTCTTTGAAAAAGACAAATATTTATCTTATTACAGATGCCTGGATAACTTATAATTCAACGCATTCCTTAAGATCATAATAATTAAATTAGATATCAGAAGTTTATAACCAGAATTTATATCTAGAGCCAATACATCCAGTATTATCAAATGTTTAAAATAAATGTAGGCGTATATTGAAATTTACTTATGCGACAAACATTCGACAAATTAATTAGTTTTTATAAACTATAAGAATTTTGAATGATAACAAGTAGAAATGATACGAATACAAATTTGCATATCCATGATGCAAACTCCCAGTCGATTATTGCATACAATATAGGCCATAACCAAAGTAGGGTTTCTAATAATAAACTAAACAAACAAGAAAAAAATCTTAATATTTATATGTGCTGTAATTAAATCAATGTACAGAAGTATTTTCATAGCTTAATCCAAAATAATCCTGCCTTTGAGAAAACCTAATGTTGAATAAAAATTAATAACATATGGGCTGTGGCTGAAACATTAGTTGAGAGCTATTTTTATAGCTTTTTAACTCTTAAAGAAACTAGGAATGATAAAATAATCTATTTTGACTATATTTTGAGTATTGCCACATATTACATGCAGAACATTAACATTAAAGTGGATGAATGAATATTTCAATTAGATTACTATTATAATTGGATATTCAATGCGGAACATACTCTCGCATATAATTGTTTAGATACACACTGGTTTGGACTTTGTGTATGGGATGTATTGCTGTGGAGTGACTATTAGTCATACGTAAATGGCCAAATTCGTTTCTATCGAAACTCTTCCATCCAAAAAGTCTTTTTTCAAATACTATTTTACAAGGTTATACTATTCTTTCAAGTTACATAAATATAGATTAGATGTTATAGGAGGTTGTGTGCAATAGATGTTAGTTCAATTATGCTATCATTAAACTAATAAGTGTATTTTACCATATGAAATTTGTTGATCTACGGTGGATTTTCTGTTATGTTAATGACATAAGATATTCATATACTCAACCAATAATGTTAAATATTAATGGTGTTACCCTATTTCGCGATTAAGATTTCAAGTTCCAAGCAATTTCTCTTACATATGCATTATTTTATTTGCAGAAATAAAACTATTTTTAACAGATTTTATGTGATAAGAATACGTGAAATATATTTAGATATTTTGAGAATTATTTTTTGTTCAATATAGTCACTGCAATATTGCTAAAAATCATGTTTATCCTGGTATTTGGGTAAATGTTTAGGTCGAAAGATTATATTCTAGATACCTTTAACTAAATGATATACTTAAAAATGAACAAAAACAACCCATGACTAGAAATATAAACGTGATGTAAATGCAGATGGTATATATTGAATATTACATTAATGCAAAGTTGTATTTCATTGTATTTACACATATCTGTACAATAAAGACATCCATAACCATTGTTCTTGTGTAATAATTTATTAATAGAGTTTTATAAGTATAGTTTGTAATTCTTTACATTCATAATGCGATATATATCTAGAGATGATATAGTACCTATTTGGTACTATTACGTACTACACACTAATATATAATATACAATTGTCGCTAGTCTATAATATTAAAAAATGCAATTTGATCAATGTAACATACTTATTTTATTAGCCTTATCATATAGAATATTTCTAAATGATACTCATTTTTAGCTACTCAATATTAATTGCTAACACAAATATTAAATCAAATTTGTACATATTGGAATAAAAACAAACTTTTTATATACATGTAAACATTTCCTAATTATACAAAGAAAAGTATATGATAGGATTTAAGCTCTTCTTAATGTAATATCAGTGTTTAAACTTCATCTTCATTTAAAAGCATATTTGGTATACCATCATTAATAGGAAATTTTCTACCAGATTCTGGGCATAACAGATCTCCATTAATAACTTCAACTTCAAGTAATACGTGATGAACTTTCTTCAGAAAATCCTCATTTGTTTCAAAGTCTTGAATTAAAGTTTGTGGCAATTCTCCAACATGGCCTATCTGTTTTAACAATCCATACAATGCTTGTGAAAATAAATAAAAATTCGAGTCTTTTTATTGCTTAAGTTTGAAGCAAACAAATTTACAATAGAAGTTAAAAAGTAACCCATTTATTCCAAATTTTTAATTTCATTTGGTCCCTTAGAATTGTTTGCAAAATCATTTGGTAGATCAATCATAAAATATAATAGTCTTATTTTATTTATTTAATATGTTTAAGAACTATTAATGATTGATTTTAAAAATTAGTATAACAAGTAACTTACACTTTCCGCGGCTTTCCAAAGCGTAGCCCAGTCGAGTTTCGGAATTATTCTTGCAATGAATTCTGAATTGAAATCCACTTCCGATACTTTAATATCTTTTGCCTAAAAATTCATACAAACAATTTATTGCTAAATGAAAAGCTTTTCAACAGTGATTAAAACTGTCTCAGATATGGTAAATTTTATTTGAATGAAATATAACCTCAACATTGTAGAAAAATTGAAAACTTACGACAATTCCTAAGGGATATCCAACAGTTACACCTTTCAAACATTTAGATGTCAACATATTATGCGTTAGAAGCTTCATTTTTGTATCAATGATGTTAATTTAACGATTAATATAGAAAATTTTATTTTCTGTCGCCAAGGATTTGTATTAGAAGTGAGAGATTCTCACTGAGAGTTCATTGCACGCCACTTTGGATACCGCAGGATACCGGCTTTGCAGCTTATGCGCATTCGATATCTATTTTATTACAAAACGTCCAATTAGTTAATTGTATTAATTTAATACATTATTGAATCGTTTTTTTACATTTTAAACGTAGCACACGAATTAGTGATGTGGATCAAATAAAAAGTACTTGACCAATCTTTTACATTAATGAAATATATACTAACAAAATAAGAATGCATACATTATCAAATATCTATATACATTTAATGGCAATGACTTAATACTATAAAAATATTGCATAAATTAACAATAGTTATCTTATAAAATATTAATCTTTTCTGGTAATCTATTTAGAAAGAGGTACTACATGAATCTTTTCTATAATATTCAGAAATTCTATTTTATATGTATCTGAAAGTTTACATCTTAATGTATCTAATTGTTAATATATTTTCAGTACAATGTGGTAATGTCAAAATACATTATGATAGTTTAAATTTAAGATTAACTTCCACAAATTGCCGACCAGTCACGTGATTTCTTGTATTCAATTCTGTTCTTGTTACGAGGTTAGTTTTTCAAAGGAAACGCTTGTCGTCTTAATTGTGAATCGTCCATTGCATTTCGTTCGATCTTCTTCGAATACAATTATTAGAATAATTCCATCGAATCAACGAAATATTATGTTTAATCGAAAAATATTATAAGTGTTATGAAACATATGGTGTTACTGGCAACATGTATATATCATAGTCGAGGTGGAAAATCGTTTGAATAATAGCAAACTGACAGTAGCCACATCATCTGGCCTTGATGAAAATACGAAATCAGCTGTTGTTACTGCCTGTTTATCTTTTGTCGTATCATATTTAAATATATATTCCTCCTACCATCTGTCAGTCATATTTTGACACATCACCTACTTGTGCGAAAAATGATCGAGAATTTTATAACCTAACACAGGCAGTGTAACCACTTGAAATTAATTTCTTAATTTTTCATTCTTCCACGTGTGCTTCGAGTTATTGTTAATAAATGTCGATGGTTAAACGGTGTAAATTCTCATTATACTGTTACCTCATGAGCTAATACCTCATGGAAGATTTATATTCTGATAAGTTTATGGTGTCTGTGTAATTTTTTACAAAAAATGCTGCAGAAAACAGAAAGATAAAGATTGCAAATAAGACGAAAGAGTGCCACAAATCGGTGCATTTGCAATCTACAATGGATCGTATTTGATTTTTGTTCAAGAGTGATTCTCTGAGGAAATAAATCACAAAAGCCTATGAAAGACAATATGTACTATTACAAGCACAAGATCTTGATATTAAAAGGAACACGTTGTTTTATATAAAGAAATGGCTTACGATTCTCTCATGTTGGGGTTACTTATGTTTGGATGCAGCATACAAACATTGTTAGCTGCATCCAAAGATGATCCATTGGAATATATGATCAAAGAAGAACGAGAAGCATTAAAGTTTGTATTATCATGTATTATGAAGTAATTTTGTCAGATGTTTGTTATATGTATCATTTTAATTGCAGAGAAGAGGCAAGGGATATGTTTTATCATGCATATAATGCTTATATGGTAAAGTTAATACAAATTTTGATAAATTTTTAGTTCAATAAAGTTAAAGATAAATCAGTAAAATAAATATAATTAATATTCTTGAATCTATTTTTTGACTTCAATGTGAAGAATTAAAGGCAATAAAAATTTATGTTTAAGGATAATGCATATCCTGCAGATGAATTAATGCCATTAAGCTGCAAAGGACGGTATAGAGGATCAGAACCAAATAGAGGTGATATAGATTCAACTTTGGGAAAGTAAGAACATTTATTTATTATATAATTGCATTAAACAATATATTACCATGCTTATGTATTATCTACTTCCAGTTTTTCGCTTACATTGGTTGACACATTAGACACACTTGTGGTAAGTGTATTTGAAAATTATTTATTTTAATTGGTAATTTACATTGTTTTACTAATATTTAACATATGTTAGGTATTGGGAGATTTAGAGGAATTTGAAAATGCAGTTAAGCTTGTTGCCAGAGATGTTAATTTTGACACAGATGTTATTGTTTCCCTATTTGAGACTAATATTAGGATGCTTGGGTAAGATAGATAGAGTATATGATACATTTCAACTTTTTACATTATTTATTTTTTAACAATTAATATTTTTTATACAATTTGTTTATTAGAGGTCTTTTAAGTGGTCACATACTAGCAGAGTATTTACAACAAAGGGCTGATATAATGCCATGGTATCGTGGTGAACTTCTAAATTTAGCCAAAGATTTAGGATACAGATTTTTACCTGCATTTAACACAACTACAGGAATACCATATGGAAGAGTAATACAAATTTTATTTATCATATTATATTTAGTAAAGTATAAAAATCGTTAACATTTAGAAGACCCTATCTAATGTATTTTTTATAGGTAAATTTAAAGCATGGTATGAAAGGTGTATCTATAGAGGTATCAAGAGAAACATGTACAGCCTGCGCAGGTAGCATGATTTTAGAAATGGCTGCATTGTCGAGATTAACAGGAGAATCAATTTTTGAGGTATAGTATTGTTCTGACATTTCACGAATATATATTAGAAATTTTATTATATGTTATTGAATGAGATAGGAAAAAGCACAAAAAGCAATGGACGTTTTATGGAGAATGCGTCATCGTGGTACCGATTTAATGGGTTCTGTGTTAAATGTTCATTCTGGTGATTGGGTACGAAGAGATTCTGGAGTAGGAGCGGGTATAGATTCCTACTATGAATATTGCCTTAAGGCATATATTTTATTAGGTAATTATTACGACGTTACTTGTATTTTTATAATTTCACAATAAAATTTATGATAAGATAATTTAATTTGTAATTTTCTCTAGGTGATGAAAAATATCTTGGGCGATTTAATAAACATTATCAAGCTGTAATGAAGTATGTAAGTCAAGGACCGATGTTGCTAGATGTACATATGCACAGACCAAATACAAATTCCAAAAATTTCATGGATGCTTTGTTAGCCTTTTGGCCTGGGCTGCAGGTAAATTTTGGTCATTATTTTGACACAGCCTTTCTTATTAATATTGTTTTATTTATTTGATTGTTGTCTTATATTTCAGGTATTAAAAGGTGATATTAAGCCTGCTGTTGAAACCCATGAAATGTTGTATCAAGTTATGCAGAGACATAATTTTATACCAGAGGCATTTACTACCGATTTTCAGGTTAATAATTTCTTTCATTAATAAATGCAATTTTTATTTGCTTCTAAAAATATTTTTCAATTTATGAAATTAGGTACACTGGGGACATCATCCGTTAAGGCCAGAATTCTTAGAATCAACGTACTTCCTGTATCGTGCTACGGGCGATCACTATTATTTAGGCGTTGGGCGTAAGGTACTCAAAAGTCTGCAAACTTATGCGAGGGTACCGTGCGGTTATGCAGCTGTATCAGATGTTAGAACTAATAAACATGATGATACAATGGATAGTTTTGTATTATCAGAAACTTTCAAATACTTATTTCTGTTATTCGCGGAGCCAGGCGAACTAGTTTTAGACTTGGATGAATTTATTTTTACAACCGAAGGACATCTATTGCCATTGACACTCGCTTCTGTAAGGACTAATGTTTCTTCGGTAAGTAAATAAATAATATTAATAAAAATATTAAGAAGTTTTATTGTATATTACAATTTCACAATTCTTATATTTTACAAAATGAAGCAAGATTTTGAGCGTGATATCGTACACGTGGACGAAATGGATCGCACTTGTCCTAACAGTCTACATTTATTTCCTGCATCGGTGCGGCAACCTTTGCGAAATATGGTTGAAGACGTATGTCCAAGACGGGCAATAAAAAGAAGACTAAGTGCTGCACAATTTCAAGTAAAAAAATATTATACAGCATTCTAATTAGTTGTATCGCTTAAATAAATATCAACAATTATTTTTCTTCATCGTAGGCAAATAATTTGGAGCATTTAAAATTGTTAAGTGATATGGGAATAACAACTTTAACTTTGGCAGATGGACGCGTTCAACTTTTGCACACATTTTCTAATGTAAAATAAAGTTTGTTTATTACGTTTATTTTCATTAATTAATAGTAAAGCAAGAGTATATTTATACTAATTTTACAGGCAAAAACACCACAAGATTCGGAAGAAGGTTTACTTTTCATGCAAGAAATGGTAGAGATAAGTAGAATGCAGACCCAACAAGCTGAAACTAAACCACAAGCGGTTTCGTTTATAAAACCAAATACAAATCCACCTCAAAAAGTTACATTATTAGCTGGACCTGCACATTTTGGTTTGGAATTACAAGGGTTAAATAAAGTAACCGGGAAAGTTAGTTTTACATATCCACCTGCCGCGTGTACCGATCTCCTTAATGCAGATGAACTTGTGGGCAAAATAGCAATAATGGATCGTGGCAATTGTATGTTTATAGAAAAGGTAAACATTGTCTTTCAATATTCTTAAATGTTTTGTAGAACAATGTTGATGTACTTATTATTACAGGCAAGACGAATTCAACAAGCTGGTGCTGTTGCTGGAATCGTGTTCGATAATGCTGCAGGGTCTAGTGCTGCAACTTCACCGATGTTTGCAATGTCAGGAGACGGAAAAGAAGTAGACGATGTAACGATTCCGGTTGTGTTTTTGTTTGACATTGAGGCTTCCAAATTAGTTAAAGCTCTTGGTGCTGCACATGGCGATCTCACAGTTACTCTTGGTAAGAGATTATACTTACAAACGTTCTTTTACTTTCGAATAAATAACTATATTTTATCTTACAGGAAGTTTCTTCCCAAAAGACGACGTTCAATTAAAAGCGCCCACTGATCCATCAATGTTTGAGCGATTGAAGGGATCATTCAAATCTTTCCTTACACGACAAATGACACCACAGGTTTGTATCCCTTGGTGTTTGGCAATAATTTTCATAGAATATGTTCTCCTATGGATTTTAATTCACATAAAACGGCACTGATCTAATAATTATAATTTTGTAACGATTATTTCTATATGATAGGAATCAAATACCTTATGATTATATTTTCTTATTTAATATTTATAACTTATGTTAACGAGATATATATCTTTTATTTATTTTCAATATTGTTAACGCAAATTGTTATTTGAGGTTTTATATTTGTTAAAGAAATTAAATAATTGTTTTTTATATTTACTATATTTTTATTATATTCTTATTTACTTCTTTATTTCATTAGTAGTAATTTAGAAATACGATTGCAATAACTCCATTTTGTATTATTAATTAATATAAGTATTTTCCAAAGTCAAATGCTTACATATATCATGTAATTTTAAAGTGAAACTAAAGATCGATAGATATTTTTTTATAACAGACATCTTCAAGCAGTGGAACAAATTTGGATGTGGTTCCTGAAATCAAATACGAAGAAGATGAAAAGGATGTGGTCATTTATTATGATTTACGTGCAGAAATGATCAAAGATTCACTTGAAGGGGAAGTAAGAATTACATCGACGTACACACCTAGCCGTCTTACGAGGAAGTCGAAAGACAACACATTAGAAGTAGAAAAAGAATGGCATCAGTTGAAAGAAGTATTTGTAAATCAGATATATTCAGATGTAAAGCATAATACAGGTTTACAAATCAGAAATTTTATATTAGAGAGTTATTATAATTGGATAGTAAAGTCGCGAGGCGAAATTCGCGATGTACTAAACATACCCCTACGAAATAAAGTTTTATGGTTCTTAGAAGAACTAGCTGAAATTGTACCAAATCCGTCCATTATGAAAATGGACCAATTAACGAATTTGAATAAGCAAAAATTGCTAAAACAATATTTACTTACAAAAATGGATGTTATGGCTTTAAATATGGAAACTACCATGACAATGCTGAAAACAATAAAATCTGAAAGCCCAAAAAATACTGAACAATTGTTCAAGATTCTGGAACTTTTTACTTCGCAAGCTAATAATTATGAATTCCTGAAACAGTTGCTGGTAGGTATCTTTGACATAAAAGATGAAATTATTCAGAATCATTTTGTCCTATTAGATTACAGTGTTGTGTATTATAAAGAATATAATGAGATATTAACTGATGCAGTACAAGAAATTTTACAAAAGTCAGTAATACCTCAACATTCGTATTATTATAAACAGCTCGCTACTTGGGGGAGAGCTTCTCCAAAAAATTTAGAAAAACTAGACATACTAAAGAAAATGAAAGAGATCAAAATTAAATCTACAGACAGTTTTAAAATGCCTACAGAAAATGAAGATATTAAAATTGGGAACTTCGAAGACTTTGAATACTTTATATTAACAGAAATAGAAAAAGCAATAAAGAATGCAAAACAAAATAATTTCGAAAAATACCAAGAACATATTGATGTTTCGAGAGACACAGCAGATAATACGAGTGAAGAAGTTGTTAACTTGAACAATATTATATTAAATATTTCTTCCCAAAGCGAATCTGCTGAACTAAGAAACGCAATAAAGTATCACATTGAATTTATGAGAAATAATGAATTGCCAAAAGAATTTAAAAATCGAATATGGGTGAGTGAAAAGGAAGGAATTCACGTTAAACAAGAAACAGAAACTTTGACTTCAGATTATAATTCTATAGAAAAAAGTAAATCACAAAATAATCAAAAATATGTAAACGAAGTTAAAAGTAAGAAAGTCGATGTAGAGAAGCATGGTGGCAAACATATCGACGATGAATTATAATAAAAACTTTCAACTGTTAGGACGAATTATAAATATTAAAAACAAAATAAATAGATTTCTAAATGTTACAAGCCTGGCAATCCTACCTACACTGCGTTTCATATTTTTGCACTAAAACTCAAATGTATGTGCAGTGAGCTTTAAGGTTTATATATACAAAAAATTCTCTTAAAAAAAGAATTAATTATTTAATAAAGAAAAAATAATATGAACGACCAGATTATATCAGAATACTACTAAGTCTGTTAAACTGGTGCTCAGAAGAGAATCCAATTTCATTTGTTATTTGAAAAAGAGTAGTGAAATTACAAGGGAATGTATGATACAATTAAATAGCAAGCGCAAAATATTTCTCCTAACGAGGTTGTGAAAGAGTATAAAAGTTAAGGCTTCAACAGATGTAAATTTTATATATACTACTTAATAATTAATATAGTATATTTCTTATATACAACACAGTACAACATATTGTTTTCTCTTCAGGAAAAGGGTTATACTTCTACTATCTTTTTTCTTCACTTTTCTGTATTTCAAACATGTGCCATGATATGTAAATGAATACTTCAACAAATAACGGTTATTGTGCTATTTTTGCGAAGTGCAATTTTATCTTACATTTTTAATAAAAACATAGATAATTTTTGTTAGAAAATAGTTTTAAATTATGTATAACTGTGCAATTTATATCTTATTTTTTTAGATAGAACGGTGGTAGATTCGTTTTCTACTTAAATGTATTTGTTTCGCTTAAAACATGTCATATCTTGTTAATATCAAAAGAAAAGATATCACATCATACTCTCAAATATGTGAAGTAAGTGTAATGTTCTATATTTTTTCAAAAGTATGTCCTTTTATAGAAATTTTTGCTACTGGTTTGAATTACACTTACCAATATTGAGAATATTAATATATTTTTGATTCAATATTGTTGCAACAATTATACGTGATTCAAACATTCTTTAATTTGAAATTTATCTATTAATATATGCCTTACGTGTACATAAAATTGTACAAATAACAGTGTATATACATGTTATATGGTATGTAACAAAGTTATTAGTGGTGGAAATTATAATAGTCTAAATAATGGTCAATATTAAAAATATTTAAGTTTCCTTACAATTATATACTTCTATTCTCTTTTCTAAGTTTAAAATCTTTATATTACACGGCATGTAAAACAGTTCTAAGTTTGCAATGCAAGAATTTAGTTGTATTATGTGCCATATAAAAGCACAAAAAATACGCATGTTTTAAACTAAATCAATTTGGAATGATACTGCGTGTATTTGAGTTAAGCCAGTGTAATATGTGACTTTGACTGTAAATGTAAATATTATATAAATAAGTAGGTAATAAGTATGTGTTCTATGATTATTATGTAAAAGTTTGTATAATGATTGCCAAAATGAACACTGAAAAGTTTATTGTACATTAAACTAGTTACAATTTTGTATAAGTTGTGTGTATAACATACATCGTACGCACATACATACATATATATTATATCGTTTGTATATATGTGTATTTATGTATGTATCACTTGATTTGTTTGTTGTCTATCATATAAAAATACATAAGAAAAATAGGTATGTATGATAGAAGTAATATGTTAACAATTTTTGGTACAGAAATAGAACGTCATAATGAGAAATATAAATAAAATCTTTGTTACGGAGAAACATAACTTCTTGTTACAAAGAAAGTATCAAACAGAGTAAAAATGTATATTACTTATATTAAAATATTTTCATTTGCTATCCCACTCTTTCTATAATTAATATTAGATCTACTGTTCGATTTATAAGGAAAGAAAGTATTGTAATCGAGAAAAATGTTAAAAACATTTTTTTTGCAGAAATACATGTGAAAATATCTGATAACGTTTTGACAAGTACATAATAATTTTTCCAATATACGTTTATATGTATGTGTGTCTGTTAAAACGATTGATAACGTCGAACGATAGACGTTATTTGTAAATATGTTTCGAAATATTTTAAATAAATCTTAAAGAGAATTAAATTTCATATAACAAAATTATATAAACTTTCTCTCCATCTTCTTTAATACAAATGAAATCTTAGTTCTTTTATCTTCGTGATAAAATGGAAAAAACTAAACTACAATTATTCTCTTTTAAAAGTTAATATATGTTATAACCATCGAGTTTTTAATTTTGTATCGAATGATATAAATTATGTATGATGAAAGTAGAGTATTAAAACTTTTCGACTTGTTTTATTGGAATTTTTCTTCTCGCAAAAAAATAGTTATGACGATTGCGTTAAGTTTTGCAAGACAGGATATACAAAGTTCAGTATACATACATACGTATGAAAGCGTATCTAATCAGGTATATCTAAACCACAATATCCAATATGTAGTTATATAATATAATTGAAATAATAAGTGCAGAGTTTCAAAATTTCATCGCATTTGAATATTTAAATCTTCGTATAATACGATTGTGGAAATTGCTAATTTCTGATTTGTGGGAATACATATAGCAAACATTTAGATAAAAATTAGAAGCAATAGGAAGATTCCATATTCATTTTTGAATTATATTCTAAAGAATAAAATATATTTTAGCGGTTTTACTTTAGGCCGCTTTGCAATGGAGTTTGCGTCTTCGAGTTACGACAACCTGTCGTCAGATGTTGGCTTTGCGTCAATGGTAAGGGAGCTATTTTAATTTCGAATTTCCGACGACCCTGATGTGCTAAATCAGATATTCGGCACATTAGTAATACATTTTAATGATCGAGCAGTAAAATCAAAGATTTCCAGAGGGACAGGCCATTTCGAAGGTGAGATATCGTATCTTCGTGTGTGAATACCATGTGTTACTAACCATGCATCTAATTTACTAACACGAATTTGTAATTTTATTGTGTTTACGTAATTGTATTTTCATCGTAGATCAGTGGGCGTTTGTGTATTGTATTACACTGTTTCCTCGTTCGTTTCTAATTATTGACAATATTTGATATTACGAAATTTGTGAAAGGCAAACCTGTTTTGTATTAGATGGGTGAACCACCAAAATACTATGGGAGAAGAAGAAGTATCGTTCGTAGAATTGGTTCATTACTGCCATTGAAACCTCCACCGAAAATATATGTCAGTGTTACACCTTTGCATTCAATGACAAGTTCTATGATTAACGAAGAAACCAGTAGCGATTATAAAGACACAAATGGGTATGAACAGGCACAGCTTCTGTATAGTTTTTGTTAAATCTCATTCCCTAATTCTCTAATTTAGCAGTCTATTAACTTGATAATATTTGTTTGTACTAGGGTTTCTAGTATTAGGCCAGATTTATTAGAACCCATCAGTTTTGGGTCAGAAGTTCGATTGCTTGCGCTAGAGCAAGAACTTCAAGAGCTTAGGGAACAAATTTCAGCGATAGTTAAAAGCAACAAACAGTCCAGATGTATGTATATATAAGAAATAATATTCAGTCCACTATTTATTATGTTATAAATACATCTTAAATATACCTTTAATTTAAATATTTTTTCAGATACATCTACTGCATCTTTAGCAAATGGAACTGATAGTGAAAATGTAATGCAAATGCAACCACCACCACCGCCACCACCCCCACTACCACCACCTACAACTCCTCATATTGCAAGAAGAGCAAGTTTGCAAGATCATAAAGTCGAAGAACGTAGAAAGGCTCTATTAAATTCTCAAGGGTCTATGGGCAATGTGCTTAAGAATATTGAAAACGTTCAATTGAAGCCAGTTGCTAAGTAATATTTATTATTATAATTGCTATGCAGAGTTGAGCATATCTAGACAACTATTCAGATACATTATTTGCATAATGCCTAACTCTGTTGCCACATTTATTTATTATTTTTTAGTATGAGTCATAATATGAATTGTTTTTTAGATCACCTGGAGGACGACCTCTTCGTGTTAAACGTGAGAATAGTCCATGTAACGACTTACAAGAGATACTAAGAAGACGATATGTCGCAATGAATTCAGGCGATAGCAGGAATTCTTCGACTAATTTGACAATGGATGATTCATTTTCCAGTGATGCATAAAGACATTCTATAGATATTTTCTCAACGTGCATTGTGTGAAATTAACGTGCCATGTAACATTTCGGACTATACTAACAACAGGATAATGAATCTGATTGATTGGTCTTCTAATAATGTTAAGACAAGAGTAGCATATGGGAAACAGTAAAAGGGATGGAAAACAAACGTGGCCGACACTCTTGAAATTGTGGTTAATAAATTCACATTGCAAGCTGATTTCCAAAATGTAATATTAATCACATTTTTCAGAGAGTATTGCTATCAAAATATATGTATATAAAGTAACCAAAGACATAACTTATTACATATTTGCATGGAAAAAGATATTGAGTTGTGAACTATTAGGTTTTCATTATTTTTTAACTCTCATACAACAAATACGAGAAACTTTGTTTTTAAGAATGGAAAATATATACTATTATTAGTAAATTTTTGAATAATACTACATATCAATATTTTCAAATCGTGAAGTATAATTGTTATTTCTTAACAGAAAAATAATTTCAAGCACATTATATTAACGTATGCAAATAAAATTGTATAATATATGCAACCGTAATACTTTAATACAGTTCACAATTCAATATATAATTTTTATTTCTAAGCGGGAATCGCGTTTGAATTTAGTAAACAGAATTAATTTTTATTCTAATTTTGATAAGATGCAGCTACTCGAGCACTGTCCAATAGAGCCACGATAGTTTATTTGATATTAAGTATATTTAACATTTCTTGTTCAGATTCCTAGACGAAAATGTTGTGATATCAAAGTCGTACCATGACTTCTCAAGCATTAGATCCAGCCATAGAAAACAGTACATATAATCTCAATAGATATAATTAGCACAGGCTTGTCACACAATAAATACTCACATTATTACTTGTGTCACTTGTCATGTGAAACATGGTTTCATAAGAATGAGGGAATGAACATAGTATGTACACACAATGAGAAGATAACACGAATTATGTCTTACGACATTATACTCTTGAAATATCACTGTGTGATGAATTCTACATTTAATTGACTTACAGCTGCTCTTATAAAGAATTTAAGAACTATCTTAATACAAGATTGTCACTGTAGTATGCAAACTGTTAAGAATCGAACATTTTTAAGTTCTTTATATTCTTTATAGAAGTAACTAGTAATGTTTACGTTTTTAGGATGTATAATTTTCGTTTCAAAGGGACGTCATAATAGATTTTGGAGACTGAGTGAATCTTTAACGATATTACAAATGTACAGAATATCTGTTTTATACACGAAGCTTTTATCGATAATTGAAAAATAAACGTTATTGTTGAACAACAAACCTTACATTTATTTCCTTACTTGGTATTTTTACTCATGTTTTTTTTTTATGCTTGACTGTTTCATAACCAAAGATTTCTATTTTATTATATGTTGTGTATTATAAAAGGTGGGGGCTACAAGGATAAATAAAACTTAGTTAGAAGGGGTCATGAGCTAACGAAGCTTAAGAGACACTCCAATAGATTATTATTCTAAGGATTTAATAACTCTGTTGAAACTTTTAATGGCTCAATTAAAATTTATTATACAATTTCCTATAGCTGACATGGTTGACTACAATATGGCTTAATAATAATTAATGCCAAATTGTTGGTTTATTGTCAGTTACTATCGGAGGATATCCCAAACTTTTGATAATATGGTATAAGTTATAGAGTGAATCAATTGACAGGCTCTTAATAAGAGCCCTATTAAATTAAGGATGATTCAGAGTTTCCCTATATAAAGCTTGACCAAACTATCATACGTATCAGTATCTGAAATTCACGATACCTACTCGTCACATTATTGCCGACCTCTGTGCTGTCTCTGATTAATTTTAAGGTAACAATACAAATTTATGTTAACATTACGTATATTAAATATTATTTTTCTAAATCGTTAATTTATACGTTGACATGATTTTTGTACTATGATTGTAGAGTTATATTTCTTTGTACAGTCAGAGGTGCTACAACTGTATTATAGACTAGTCTATAATTAAAACAAATTTCTTCATTATAAAAGATATTGGTTTAAAGTGTTACTCTGTGTATGAATTCGAATAAACTACAAACAAAGACAATTTAAAAATCTTCATTTATTTCATTCCTTGTTTTTTATTCCATTTCCTGTAATAATTATACTTTTGTAGAATATCAAAATTTCATGTATAATTTCGTCGTTTGAAGTTTTCTGCAGAAAAAAAGTATTTGAGGCTATAAAGAAGCATTGCAAGGGCGTATTTTTTTATTGATGAGACACCTAAATTCAAATTTCAATATGAAATAACGTTAATTTATTAAAAAGAAAAACATTGTTCATTTACGGTTACCGTCGAACTAAAATTCCCGCCTTTGGTCAGCGCCCCTACCGGGAAGATGGTCAAGTTTGTCGCCAGAGGATACTTTTTTACCGATTTTACAGTTTAATGAATTATTTTAATTTTTCTTGCATGTTTTACAATTCTACATTACTTAAGCATAATCGGCAATATCATGAATTTCCAATGTTTAGTTTATGCGTAAAAATGGGTTAAAACACGTTTCAGTACAATTACAAATTCGTTATCATACGTAATGAAATATATATTTTCATTAAAACAAACACGGATTGTAGATTCTCAATCCATCCAATGGATGTAGTTATTAATGGGAAATATAATTTTACAGTACAGGAACAAGTTAAACATAAATTAAATCAAAATTATAATAAAGAAAACTGTAAGTCGGTATAAAGTATCATCTGGAGTCATCTAGCGTAAAAAACGGGAACTATTCGAGGACAAACTTGGGCATTTTCCCGCTGGTGCGTTGTACGGAGGTCGGAATTTTAATTCGACCCTTTCACCGCTAGATGGCGATACCGTACCATTCGTTTGCTTTTTTTATTTTTATTTCTATTTTTTGAATTAAAAAGAATATAATAATACTATAAAAATAATTGAAAAAAAAAGTTTGTTTTCATAGTGCTTACAGATCTACTTTATTCACTCATATGTAGTGCACTTTTTTGATACTGTGCCCGTAAATGAACAATTTTGTTTTTTTTTTAATAAATTACCGTTAATTCATATTAAAATTCGAATTTAGGTATCTTCTCAATAAGAAATACAATCTTCTAGTACTTTCCTACACCCTAGACGGTTATTTACATAAACGAGAGTCAATTAAAATCATTAAAAACAATAAATACCTTTACTACCATGCATACCAAGATGGCGGACATATATATTTAAATTTGAACTAGATAGAATAACGAAAAATTAACTTCTACGCCTAACAACAGTCAAATTGGAGGAAAGTGATTAAAGAAAATATTACTGTGGCACTTTCTTTAGCTTATAATTCGCAAGGGCGGGCGTTGAGGATGTTAAAACTGCGGCTGACCGATGATTTCCGTGTCAAAAGAATCGCGTGCATCGAGGCACTACCATTATTCGGATAATGCTCGAACAATGCAGAAACGCGGACACGTTTCGCGTCTTTTTAACGACATCCAGAAACGGCTCGTCTCTATGCGACAGAAGATGCTGGTCACGTTTCTTATCCGCGGGACACTTAGTAGCACTTACTGTTATCTTAATGACCGGGGACGCGCGTAGCGTTAATGGTTCCTTTAAAATTAGCACGTGGAAACGTACGAGGGTACTCTAACATTTTTCGAAAAATCCTTACGCGACGGTGCGCACACCGGCTAGTCAATGGACGCAGATAAACGGCCCGGTTGTTCTTTTATTTTTACGTTTTTATCGCGAGCCGCGATTCTGGAGTGACGGAGGCGGCCATTAATCCTAAAGTCGCCGGCTTCGAATCCAAAGCGTGAATGTTAAGTAAATGCATCTTAACTTTCGTGAAATCGAGGGCTTACTTTGTTTTTTATTTCATCTCGATGAGGTTGGGAATCGGGGAATCTGCGAGTTTAATTTGTGGAATGGGATGCAATCAAGTGTGCGCAATTCTCGAGGATATTTATGGAGCCTTCCTCGATTAAGTGCCAAAGGGATATCTCACTTTTTTTTTTGTATTTATTTCCCCCCCTTTTTTTTTTGAGACATAGCTCTTTTGGCACTGTTAGAAAATAAGGGAAATTAATGTTTCGTTTAATTCTCCTTGCTCTTCAAGGTATTTTAACACTTTATCTACCAGGCTATTTAGAAATAGTCATTAATTCAAAAAAGAATTTTCTAAAGTAGCGTAAGCCAATCTAGGCTAACAATATGTCCTCCATACTGTTACCGGGTACATTGAAAGCCAAGTTTGTTTCCAAACATTGAACATTGTAAGTAGACAATCATCAACACAGTAAATAAATTGAAATAGGTAAATACTGGAATTAAAAAGTCTATAGATAGGCTCCCGGTAAATAAAGTGTTAAATTTAGACGAATTTCTGTAACAAACAGGGTACGAATACTTATGAGACTGTCTGTATATTTTATTTTTATTCTCCAGTATACCTTCGTCACTTAATTCTTCCGTTCTTATTCGTACTGTAAATATAGAAGCAATATTCGTACTGTTCTTATGACGAACTGTTTACAGTTTAGTTTGTAACATAAACCATCAGTTTATTGCTTCGTACAAATTAGGGAAATGGGAATGGAAGAAAATCCCATCCCGAATAACGTCAACATTTAGTTAATTTAAATTTCGTTACTTTATATAAATAACTAATTTTTTTTTTTTGTACTGTGTCTACTCTAGAGATTTCCAAGAATATGTAGAATGGAAAACAAAAGGATTTCTCTTTAAAATAATAGTTTTCAGCCTGAAAAGAATTCAGTAAAATTGATTCGAACTTCGCCAAGTCCCGATACGAGAGTCCAAATGGCCAGAAAATGTGTCGTTAAATTTAAACTCGAGTAATGTTCGTTAACGAATGGAAAACTTGAATTTTATACGTGCCGTTAAAAAGCGACGTAACGCTTTGGAACACGAAACAGGTGGCCGAAGTATTAAACAGGCCGGGTTATGCCCGGTCTTAAATTGTACGACTTCGAACGGATCGTTGATCCAACAAGTCAGCCGTGACACTTGAACAGTCCATTGTTTTATGTTCACGATCGCTGAGCATCGCGAGTTAAAACTGCGTTTTTCGCTGCTCGACCGCAGGGAAAGAGCTCACGAAAGGAGCAGGAATGCTTGCACGATCTATACAAGTAGTTTCCTATCGCGTTATGTCATATCCAGCGTGAAATACCCTCTCCAACATTAGGAATACGGTTCGACAAGCTATTATTGTCTTAACACTTTATCTACCGGGCTATTTAGAAACAGTCTTTAAGTCGAAAAAGAATTTTCTACAGTAGCATATGCCAATCTAGGCTGACAATAATTCCTCCATACTGTTACTGGGTACATTGAAAGCCAAGTCTGTTTCCAAACACTGATCATTGTAAGTACAGGCCAATCGGTAGAGAATTAAAACAGCGTTTTTGTGAGAAAAATAGTAACAGCAAACCGATTGTGCATAGAGGCACGATGAAAAAACGCGCACTGAAAACTTCAAATTGCGATTGTGAGAAAACCACCTATTCGACAATCCCCGCTTTTTGCACACATAAAGGACATATCAATCACTACTTGTTTCCAAAAGGCCAGCGCTTCAGTTTAAAAAATGGCGGAGATACGAATTTTTGAAAAAAACGCTAAATTTTCCGATTTTCCAGATTTTTCTCCGTTCCTCATTATCCGATCGAGACGTTCGAGGTTTCATTGTGTAGGTATTTTCATCACCTACATTTTATCTCATTGGAGCATTGATATTGCTGCATTAGTTTAAAATTTATAAGCAATAAACGACAAAAATCACGATTTTTTACCATTAAATTGTAAATAACAAGAAAACGGAACAGAGTTGGGAGTGAAAAACATATACCTATTAATCTACGCATCCCCTTTTATGTAACTGCACAATCGGTTTGCTGTTACTATTTTTGTCACACAAAAATGCTCTACTGATTGGCCTAGTAGACAACTATCAACACAGTAAATAAATTCGAATAGTTAAATACTGTAATTGAAAAGCCTATAAATAGGTTACCTGTAAATAAAGTAGTAAGGTGGGTATTTCCGAACTATATTAGTCTAAACAAAATTCAAATACAGAAATGAGAGAAATAATGAAATACAGAAATAATGAAAAACAACCGTTCCTAGGAGCTAAGAACGCGCAGAGGAATGTTCGTATCTTGAGTAATCTCATAGAACAATTTAGAATCGAACGTGATATCCGACGTGGCGCAATAAAAGATTAAATGAAACAATACACTCTTATGCAATTCAACGGCGCAATTTTCGCTTTGTTCAAACGAAGTCGTCGACGGAACGTCGTGAAGCGAAATGAACGTACACGTGTAGGCTCGTTCAATTTAGCCGCGATTTGAGAGAATTCGATTACAACGCAGTCAGATTTCCTTCTTATAAACTGCCTTGATTGCATTATTTTTGCGTCAGAAAACGAACGAAAGCTGACTGATTTCAATCACTGATTTAATTACAGATTCTACAGTGGGTGTAGAATGTATTCGTACACCGGTCAATTTCTCAAAAAGTTTTGTGTGAAATTTTAGTTTATTAACTTCTCTTTATAATCCATGATTTTCTATATACTCTCGGAAATCTAGAATAGATATAGTCCAAACAACAATTATTAGTTTATATAGTTTGCGAAATTAATAAGAAAATACGAAAAATCTCATCAGTTAATTGCTTCGTACAAATCAAATTTCCAGTAAATAGGAAAATGGAAGAAAATCCCATCTCGAATAATGTGAACATTCAGTTAATTTAAAGTTCGTTACTTTATATAAATAACTAATTTTCTTTTGTACTGTGTCTACTCTAGAGATTTCCAAGAATATGTAGAATATCATTGATAATAAAAAATAAGTTAATCGGAAATTAATCGGTGTACGAATACTTTCTACACCCACTGTATGTCTACAAATCAATGTTTCATTATAAATATATACGACTGTGAAGTTTATTTATGTACATATTTACAATAAAACATTTATTTGGGTACGCAAAACCTATCATTTACTTTAGACTTTCTTCAATAGACACGAAGAGTATAAATACTTATGAGACGGATTATAAAAAAGTTTCATTTACTTTCCTTTCTCTGCAACTTCTTCTTTTTCTATTATTAACAACATGCACATTTCTTGATTCTTTCAGATGGCTAGCTCAAACGTACTGACCTTCTTCATTTTGTCGTTGACGATGACAACGGTTATTTGCCAGACGTTCCAATACAGTCGCGGTTGGACGAACGGTAAGAGATCATCGTCCATGGTGGAGGAATCAGCCAGTAGAAATGCAGGTCAATTAGACAATGCCCTTGTCAACTGCGAGCTACAGAAGCTGAGATTATTGCTTCAAGGAAACGTTAACAGCCAAGTAAGTCTAGTAAATATTGCGATATAAAATATAATACAGAACAATATAATAAAGAACGAATTTTGTAGATATTACAGCAATTTCCCTGCGAATTCTTTGACTCTCCGAGAAGAAATTTCCCAGAAGCTATCATCAACGTGGACCATTTACGACGACAATCTACATCTGCGAACAACAATTACTAAATGTCCCAGTACCGTGTTCCTCGTCCCAATTACGATTAATCGCTGATTTGTTCCGATCAAATAAAAGGCTGTACCTTTGAAAAACCTGATTTTCGTTCCCCTTTATAATGCAAGTCTACAGGATGTCCCAGAATTAGTGTAAGAACTGGAAATGGGGGTAGCTGAGTCGATTCTGAACCACAATTTCAGGACATTTCCTTTGCAGGAATATCGGATGATACTTCGTTTTTGAATTATTAACGAAAATCACCGACCAATCACAGCGCCCTAGTAAATTGATAAACTTCAAGCTCGATTCGATGCTAGATTCACATACAGGCAAGATGAAAATCTAGGTATAAGGAAAACTGGGATCAATTGGAACGTTTCTGACAAAATAGTTTACTCAGATTTCATTTTGTGTCCTATTTGCTTAGGAATGAGCTTTAATTATAGCTACCTAGTTTTAAAAGAGCATTATTGATTTGGTTCTAAATATAGTATTGAAATAGAAGTTTTTTTTAGAAGGATCTCGACAAACTTATCAAATGACCCCGTGCCTGGGTCAATAGAAACATCTATAAACAGAAAATTAAAAGAATTATGTTCAAGTAATTAGTCTTTATTATATCCATTTGTGATAGTGCTTTCCACTGAAGAACTAAACGAATTAATTCTGATAATCATGCATCAAAAGTAACGAATTTAAACGAAATTCATGAATTTTGATGAAGTTACATAAATGAATCCACAATAGTTTAAATAATACTTAAGCCTAGCAGAAATTTTCAAGAATATTTATCTGGCAGTTGACACGTTATTAGTTGAAGCATTTAAGAAAATGACGATTAATAGGCTACCTCTCAGTAAAGATTTAACTTATTTCACTAGTTTCCATTAGCCCACGGTTTCACGTGATCCCAGTCTCCCCATATCCGCTGAAATCAACGTCACTGAACTCGACGGTTGTTCGAACGGTTGTTTCGCCGTTGTACAATTTGTCGTCGACGTTTTTAGCCGTCTCTATTTCCACCGTGCGATTGCATCGCCTTCCTATCGCTAATGAATCACTTATTCATCGTTTATATAATTTACTCGTGCAGTTGAGACGTCACTCGGTACGGCCTTGTTAATTGTTTATCAATCATGGTTAGCTTGGTAATTGTTTTTATTGAGCGTATACCGGATTTGTATTAATTATCGAGTTTTCTCGCGGGTTATCCAGTTTTCATCGGGACCATCGCAACGGTTAATTAAGTTTTCGCTGTCCTAATTGGACAGACGGTCAATAGGATAGATCGCGGCGGCCGTTGCCGCTCGACGTAGGGGATTTTGTCTGTCAACGGAAGATGGAGTGAAACCCTGGCGAATCGAGACACCTGCTGAGTCCGTGGATTATCCCTACGGACAACTTATCTCGAACTGCAATTCGGCACCTGAATTCGCGGACTTTATACAGGGTGGCCTTGTAAAAGACGCCGTTGTCGAAAAGGAAGAGACTGGGGGAGGGGAGGTAGAGGGGATAAAGGAAACCGATGAAATGAAGTTGTTTAACAAATTTTCCTTGGACCACGGGGGACCTTGGATTGGTTCAAGAAAATTGCGAATTGAACATATTTTTATTTCTAATATTTAGTGTAAAGGTAAATACTATCCACTTTGCTTGTGTATTTCTTTATATTTATATCACAATTGGGACATAGGTTTCAGTGTATCAGGAAATATTGATCATTTAGATAATTTAAGAATTAATTGATTCATTTAACCCAGTGCGCGAATCGTGCAGATCTATTACACTTTTACAAGAATATTCATTCTACCACCTACGAAACACAGTTTTTCGGCGAGTCTTCGTTGGGTATTCTTCATAAAACGTGTTTAGATACTTTGTTCTCCTCTTTTACATATCCTGTTATCACTAAATTGCTAATCATTATGTAAAATAAAATGTTAGCATACGTGCCAATAATAAAAATTGAACCTAACCATGAATTTATTCTACTCTACTCCGCAAATATTATAACGTAAATGTTACTTTTAATATCTTTTGATATTCCTGCACATTCAAATTTCATACAAATTCATCAAAACTTGCGGTCTGTTCCCTGTGACAACCTCGTCACTTATGTCATAAATTCATGGCCTATTCACGATATAATTACAGAATTCGAGAAGTCAATGAACAAGGTAACACAATCAATTTAGTCGTTCGCAAACGGATGGAAGGGGTCACGTCGCGATTAAGAAGATTCCTTGATAATTAAAAATGCAAAAACAATGGCGACGATCCGCGTTACAGGCTAGAGCACTCACGGTTATTAGTTGATAGCGTCAGGATGCGTGTAACTATCATGCACGGGCAATGCACTTAAAACTTGGCTGTTAATCAGAAACCAATTACGGGAGGCGGGTTGAAATGAGTTTAATCGCATTAAATATTAAAGCGTCGTCACGGTACCATGGGGACTAGGTGTACCGCCATAGGTGACCCTCTTCCACCAGCGAGTCATGGAGGAACCGCACGCTGCCACGTGTGCAACGCTCTTCCGTCTTAATACCCTCGGGAATAACCAGCCATCCCCGCGCCAATGTCCTTTACGGAGTGACGCTTAACTCCGATATTCATGCACGAACGCTGATTAGGAGTTTACTGGATAATTACACCGCGGATTTTTTTTGATGGACGAGAAACATGCACACAGTATGCAATGATATAAGAAAATATTGAAAGTAATGTTTATATTACAATATTTGCTGAGCAAAATGAATTCCTGTTTAGGTTCAATTTTGGAAGGGACGCTTGCAAAGGTCAGCAGTCTACTTGTTAATGCTTCTTCGAATTGATAAAGTGCACTTTTCATGCCGAAAGCTGCCTAGAGGAAAAATAACGAAGGCAATCATCTGTGACATAGATTTAGACGACAAGCGCACTCTATGCAGAATTTCCAATTTTTCCGCAAACTTGTAAACCTCATATCTCGCAATTACCCTTCGATCGTCGCGCTTTCATCGCAACTAAAACTTGATTTCAACGAGTCGAAACGCACAGGGGTTGGGTAACGCTCGCTTTTGGTCTGAAAAAGGTGGCACGGGGGAAAGTAATAAAAGCAGCGAACGACTGTGACATCAGCGCAGACCGAAATTGTACTCGTCAAACGGTTTACCCGTCGTTTCGCAGCTTTTTCGTTTTCACCGTGAAGCCTCCCTTGTCGCGCGACAAACGACAGCCGACAGACGACAGCTCGAAAAAGGCGACGTTTCTCGTTTCCTGCAGCGAAACGCCATTTAGGATGATTGCCTGATTTTACGTATTTATACAGGGAGTGTTGGTGCGCGGCCGTGTCGCCGTCGTACAGGCGGTTTCCTTGTATCGCTGATATTCGTTTCGCAGCGAGCACCGCGCTAAAGCGCCTGGCACAGGCGGCGTTCAACTTCGTAATGCGATGCAATTTCAAAGTGAAATATTATCCTGGATTTCCGGGATTCTTTTGCGATACGGATCAGCCGTATCGCGAAATAAACCGATTTGAAACGTACGCGTGCCGGCGGGACGGTGTTAGTGCAATTGCCAGAGGGCTGGACGATCTCCGACGTCGACTTTTACGCGACTGGGTGGTTCTGATTAGTCGGCAGGGACGAGATATTTACCCTTTGGATTCAACGACTGGTGATCCACGAGGATGTGGAAAGGAGAAATGGATTTTTTTGGGAGCGGTGATTTTTTGGTATTGTTTATTACCGTTTGGACCTTTGTTGGGGGTCTTCTTGTGAGATTAGCGGTTGAGGATTAATCGTTAAATGTGAACCCTTTGGATGTCATTCGTAGTGGCATTCCAAGGGTTAAACTCAAAAGTGTGAAGATAAAAGGGATTTTCTTGGGGGTAGTGATTTTTTGGTATCGTTTATTACAGTTTGGACCTTTGTGGGGGGTCTTCTTGTGAGATTAGTGGTTGAGGAGTATCGTTAATCCTTTGGATAAAATATCTGGAATAGATTAATCGTTAAATGTGAACACTTTGGATGCCACGAATTGATCTTCGCGTAGGGATCGAGGGTAGTGGCACTCGAAAATTTAAACTCAAAAGTGCGAAGATGGAATGACTTTTCCTGGGAGCAGTTATTTCTTACGTTGAATGTGTGCATTTTTTTATAACTGTTTCCACCTTTATTAGGGAATGTTCTAGCGAGATTAGTGGCTAGGGAAAATTGTTAAACTCGAAAAGAAATGAAACGGAAGGGTATACAGATATGGTTTGCCTACAGGTGGGCATCCTTGTAAGGGATGGTTCTAGAGACCAAAGTAAGATGGAGTGTGAGAAGACGAAATTAAGGGGATGAAATTGTGTTTGGGGCGTTGTGGAAATAAGCAGGAAAAGCTAAGATTTCCGAATCTACCCTTATACGACACGATTTCCAGCTAATTGAACAGTTGTACTAATTCAAAGCAAAACAGAGGTCTGCAAACGAAGATGAACATTTCCGTTTCTTCGCTTTCAAGCTTGAAGGCGTCGATGTCCCCTTAACCATTCAGTGCATGGTACTGTCAATTTTAAAATGTAAATTGGATATAGATTTTAGCCTTGTAATACTCGAAACAGAAGGATGTCCTTCTTTGAACAATGAAACGCATCGAATGCATCATTTTTCTCGAGAATCGACCGTTTCCATCTTCCCCACTTAATTCCTCTGTTATTCAATGACCCAAGGAAATCGCACGTTTCACATTTTATGACTTCTCAATTATCTTCTTCCTACACCAAGCGTTGTTTCGTCACCTCACGTTTTTACATCCTCGCCAAAGATTTTCGCTTGTTTTCTGAAGTGAAATCGATTCGAACCTCCGAGACAGGGGCGCGTCATTAACGAACGTTGGGGAAATAAAAATTTAAGTAGACCCCCCACTATCCCCTCCGCCCGCCTCCCCATCGCCATTGTCTACCAGTCGCGAAGGAACGTTGTTCTCGATTTTTAACACGCCCCCGACTCGTTCGACTCGGAGAGACCGCAAACGATCGGAAATAAAGAAACAGCCGGAGAAATAGTTACGAATAGACCAATTTTACGGACAGGAAACGAACGGCGTTTAGACATAGTGTTTCAGGAAACGCGCGGACCAGTTAATGGCCACAAAAATTGATCGTCCTTCCCTGTCGAATCACCGCGTAACTACCCTTTTCAACGGAAAGGGGCCATTTTCTGCCGTGGACCGGCTGGATTACCATAAAATTATCGACGTTGGATTTCTCTGGTTTGACGATTAAATGCCAGGAATTGTTTAAATAAAATTTGTAGGATATTTGTCTGTTAAATTATTTAATCGATGCTGTGGTCAGTTGAGAAACCAAATTAAGAGTGCGCTTTAATTGGCGTAGGTACATATTTTTTGGTAATATTTTGTATCAAATAGTTTGATATTGAAGTCACACTCGAATGGACAAGAATGCAGGTGTAGTATATTAGAAAATAGA